CGGCGCCCAGGTCAAGGGCGTCCAGCTTCTCGATCTTAATGCCGCGATGGTTGTTGGACTTCTGCACGAACAGGAGGTCCGAGTTGAGCTTCGCATGCTTGAGCAGGTCCTCCTTCTCGTCGGGCATCCTGAACGCCCGCGGGATGAAGGGCAGGCCTGAGGTGGCGAGGTTGACCTTGTTGGTGATGAAGCCCGAGCCGGGAAAGTGGTTGACCCTCTGGTGGGGCTTCAGCTTGGTCATCATCTCCTTCAGCTCCCGGAAAGGGTAGTTGTGCGACCACAGAACGTCCCAGTCGTCGCCGTCCTCCGAGAGCTCATAGCCGAGGCGGTGAAAGACGTTGGTCACGTGCATGAGGTAGCCGGAGCCCTTCTTGTTGCCGCGGACCCAGGCCACGGGGCGCTCGTAGTGGGCGGCGCCCCTCGCCTCCGCCAACGGCTCCCCTGTACCAACACGAGAGTTAGCTCGCCCTCAACCCGCCACGCCCGTGCGCACGTGTCACTGACTTGAGTTCAACAGTTGACACTCGTGCGAGTGAAACTCGGTGCTTTTACATGCACACAACAAAACACTTGATCCAAATGTAATCATCTGGCAAAAGTTGTTTTTTCAAATATATTCATATATATCAATTACTGAAATGAAGTGATTATTACGGCAAACACACTCCACCCAAAGTACATGCGAGGAAGGCCAAAACCAGGAACCGAAAGCCGCTCACAGCCCGATTCCAGCAGCGAAATCGCTGGACCTAAACACGACCACCGTTACCTCCAGGGATTTCAGCCTCACCACCCGTGACGTAAAGCATCACAAAGCATCACTTTTGAACAGCTCAACACCACTCACAACACCTTCACCATCAAATGCAAATCACACAACACAGCGCAGTGCGTCAACAAAAGCCCCCCGCCTCATCACACTCGTTACTCTCGTCACTACACATGGCAGACACCATCACCACCAAGCCACCCACCACCCATTCCAAAGGTCAACACGCTCACCCTGCATGCGAAGCCACCAGGCGAGCAGACACTACGGCCCCGCGTCAGACGCAGGGCCCCTTCTGCCGCGTGCCTTGCCGTCCCAACCACCACCAAAGGCAATTCAAAACAAAAATCCTAAGCCCGATGTGGGAATCCTGCTAGAGGGACGACGTCATACTGCACACTGCCTACTTCGTTAATGCTGACATCTTTACAATCAGTAGAGTCATTATCATCGCTGTCGTTAGTATAATAACCGTCATCAGTTGCTCAAATTGGTCATAATCATTAGCATGCTCAGTTATAATTATATCTTTATGATATTACTGTTAATGTTACTTTGAAGATGATAATGGTTCATTCGCTTATTATTCTATGAACATTTCTATTGTTGGATTGTTAAGAATCTAGTGCTTTTTGTGATAATTATTAGCGGTATGATCACCATCAATATCATGATAATATTCAAGGTTTTACTGTGATTACAATCAGAATTGTTAAAGATGTTATGGGTCACTATCAAAATAGATACTGCAAAGTTAACTACATATATTTCAAATATTCAATCTCATAGAGTCATGACTGTTATTATAATTCAACAATCACTGCCGTGACCATTACCGTCCATTCAAACACCATACAGCATGCTGGTTAATGTTCTTAGACTCCAAAACCACAGGTACGACTATTTGCATTCCAAAGCCCACTGAACCCCCAAGAGACAAGGACTTCTAGAACTAGCATCTGGACAGCAAACAAAGCGGCGCCAGGAAATCACAGGCGCCAGCCATTAAGCCTGAGAGTGCTCGCGCAGTTGGGAAAATCCCTGGCGAAAAGACGAGCTAAAAGCCTCCTCCTCCTCCTCCTCAGGCGCGGGAGCCTCCTCTCTTACTCATTTCCCCGGAAGCATCACGATCGAGAGAATGGCAGAAAGAGAGAAAGCGCGAGCGAAAAGAGAGAGAGAGAGAGAGAGAGAGAGAGAGAGAGAGAG